TGAAATATATATTTTTGCTGTCTAAAGAAAAACACATCTCTAAAATGGTACATTTACAGGAGAGGGCAAAAATATTCTTTACTTTCAATGTAAGTTAATGGAAAGAGGTTTTATTCTAAGCAGTTTTGGAGCATTTCTATTGGTCCAATCATCAGGAATTTTTCACATAATGCAAATAACAGCTGCTAAAAATTAAAAAAATGGAGATACATGTCTTTCTTTGGATAAAAATAGATAGATATCTCAATAGAACCATCACCTTTACTACATAACCCTTGAAGAGCCACCTTTAAAGAGCGTAGAAACCAAATATAATTGACTACAACTGCTGTTGGAATCATTTCCTTTAACCCAGCAGCACTTTTCACAGTGATATCCGTGTCCGCTACAAGATCGTGTGAGACCCTCCCACCACGGCAAAGGAAAGTGGAGGAGAGGAGGAGGGTGTGGAAGTGAGGCAAACAACAGACAGGAGGACAGATGGGGGAAGGGAGAGGGACGGAGTCGGCGTGGCTCCTGGTGGCCGTGCGAGGACCGCCTGTCTGGAGAGAGTGTGGAAAGAAGGAAGTGCGAGAGAGAGGGAGAGAGGGATCGCTAATCTGAGGAGCACTTCACTGTCCCCGTCCCATTGTCTCCTCAGGCTCTCTAGGCCCTCTACATCTTCTCTGATAGGCCTGCATGAGTGGGAAAAAGAGAAGAACCCAATGAGGCCTCATAACAGCTGTCGAGTCCATTAGGGGTCTAAAAAGTAGTATTTTAGAGTTCTTTAGAGAGCAGATCTTTAGTTATAACAATGCAGTCTTAGAATAAAGGCTCATGGATCGTTCTTGGCTTGGCTTTAATTAGTATTGAACATTTACATCATTATTATTACATTATTATTACACCTTAAGCATGATTCAAGTTTAAAAAGATTCTCATCTCATTTACAGAAATAGTTTCAGCCATTGAAAAGTTCTTCAGGGAACCAAAAGTGGTTTGTTCTTGGCATATTTCCAAAAAAAAACAACCTTGTTAACAGTTTTATCTTAAGGGTCTATAGGTTTTAGTTCAAAGCAAAATCAAAAACGCTGGTCACTTCAAAGAAGCCTTGTACAATTTGCCGGACTAAAGATCCTCTCTATGGCTTTCGCTTCATCACCGGCTCTGATCTACAGTGTCGGGACGAGTCTGAACCTGTTGTGTGGACTGGTCAAGAATGACTCGTCCTCCGTATTCATGTCTGGTGGTGAAGTCGACGTGCCCCATTCACAGGTCCGTCTCCTCTAAAGAACCAGCGCCGATCAATAATTCAATACCGCTGGCGTCGGAGTCCAACTCTGGGGCCCCGTACACAAGCACTCTTCATCCCATGCATGGCTGAGAGCGGTATTAATTAATAGCCCAAGACCTTGTTTCGCATTAAAAGCAGGCCAGGCCTGATAGGCTTGTTCAAAACAGGAGCATCAGGTTATCAAACGCTCAATGAAATGGCAGCGGAGACTGCATGATAGATTAGCTCTGAAAAGAGATGGGAACTGGCATAAAACTGGCAAAAATATCATCTGGATGAGCAGATGTAGGCCTGCAGTCCTGTTCCTGAAAATATAAGTAACACTAGAACATGAGCGTCATTGCGCAGTTGAAATCTGCACTGGCTTCTCAGACCAAATGTGCTTTTATTAGGAATAATAACGTTAGATTAGACTCTGTAATAACTGAAACTGTTGTTTTCTCAAAGCTCCCATCCACACAAATAAGCATAACTGTAGAGGGTCTGTTCAGTTGCAGTTATTGAAGGAAGACAAACGACATCAATTTAGAACTGTTTAAGAAAATCAGGGCTACCTTTTTTTCAACACATGAACAAGTTTGAAAACTTAAAAATACAGGCTATTAAACCAAAATGTACTGTACTGGTAAATGGAGTATAATCTTTAAGATTAGGACTCAGGTCCAAGTTTTGGCTTAGACTATATTATTTTAGTTTGTTGACAACTTCTCGTCCAGTGTTTCTTCTGAAATGAAGGGTATTAATAGTGAGTTTGTCCCCCTTTGCTGCAGTAACAGCCTCTACTCTTCTGGGAAGACTTTACACTAGATGTTGGAACATTGCTGTGAGGATTTGATTGAGTATTAGTGAGGTCAGGTACTGATGTTGGATGGTGAGTTCTGGATCACTAACTCATCCCAAAGGTATTGCAATGAGCCCCATCTCTCCAGAGAACTTCCCATTATATATGGTTCCCTAACTAAAAATACCAAACGTTTCTTTGGGGGTACCACCCCACAGACAGTTTGGTACAAGTTCTTCAAGGGTTCTTTAGCAAAGACAGTGGTTCTATATAAAACCATGAACACTCAGAGAACCATTTGAATACTTAAATGATGAAATGCTTCATCAGATTGATGGAAAATGTATTGTATATGATTCTATACAGAACCTTTTTGAAAATGGTTCTTCTATTGCGACAAGCTTGAAATTGTAACAATGGCAGAACCCTTTCTGGAGCTATATGGAACCATATACAAGGCATTCTCCATCAATCTGAAGAACTGTTTCACCATGCACAGGACCATTCAGGCATGTAAATGTCTTTGCTAAAGAACCATCTTTTTTAAGAGTATACCTTTTACTCTGAGACTGTATGATGCTTGGCATTGGGCATGGTGACCACAGGCTCATGTGTGGCTAGTCCAGAGCATCCCATTCTACTGGTCGACGCTTTCCTAGATTGAACAAGTTGCTTTCACTCATTAAAAGCACTGTCTGGATACTTTTGGACAGCAGGCTGGACAATAGCCGAATGGTTACCACAGCTGTGGCAGTGTAACATGAGAAGTAACCAGTGGTCATCCATCTGAAGAGTCAACTGAAGCCTGTTGTTGAGTGTTGGTGTTTTTAAGTGACTGTAATTATCAGTCAATTAAGAACACTTGGGATGCCCCTTTAAATCTAAAGCCCCCTCATTACATTAGCTGATGGGATCATGTTTTGTCTGTGAAGGTTTCTAGTTGTCCAGGTCATTGAATCAAGTAGAATAAGTATCTAGACTGCCATTGTTCTTAGCATGATCCCCATAGGAAAGCACTGACCAATAGAATGGGACGCTCTGGAGCAGCCGCACATGAGCCTGAGGTCACCATGCCCAACCCCAAGCGTGGGCTAGAGAGGTATAAAGCCCCACAGCATTGGGCTGTGGAGCAGTGGAACTGTGTTCTCTGGAGTGATGGAGCTCCATCCAATACCTTTGGGATGGGTTGGAGTGATCCAAAACTGACCATCCAACATCAGTACCTGACCTCACTAATGCTCAATCAAATCCCCACCCCAATGTTCCAACATCTCGTGTAAAGCCTTCCCAGAAGAGTAGAGGCTGTTACTGCAGCAAAGGAGGACATACTCACTATTAATACCCTTCATTTCAGAAGAAACGCTGAACAGCAGGAGTAACGATGAGCATCATATTCATAGCTGTCTTTACAGAAGCAGCTGCACAGAGAAGACTGGACAAACTCCAACGTCTCTCCAGCAAGGGAGTAAAACAGCCACCCTGGGATTAATATTTAATTCAGCTACAGGCCTCCAGAAGCCCACCAACAAACCTCCTATTAGCTGCTAACTAAGCGGCAAAGGAAAAAAAACAGTCGCAATCACAAATCATAAACGTCTTAAAGTGTATTTTTTCCATCAATTATTCAAATCTCCAATATTGAGATGAGTGAGCTCTCCGAGCAACTGAAGGAGATCCTCTGTCTTCTTTGCAGAGAAGCCGCTGAAAGGATTGAGACAATAAATAAGAGCTATTAAAAAAAACGAAATCAAAAATCACAAAAACGTCATAAATAAGAATTTACAGGACAATCACACCTTTAAAAAAAGAGTTCCGTGGATTTATTCTGAATGGAGAACACTGACTTCGTGAGAGTTCACAGTAATGACGAAATTAAAGATTGATTTTTTTATTATTGTTTTTTTTTTCGTAAAAAAAAAACAAAAAACGTTCAAACGCATTCAGCGATCATCCAGCCTGCATTGGAGGTAACGTTTTTTATACTTGAATCTTTATAAAAACCAAACAAAAAATCACCATACAGAGAGCCACGTTTGTTTGTTTGTTTGTTTTGTACACACCGTGAGAAAAAAACAAATCAAGAAAGAAAAAAAAACAACAAAAAATAATTCTCGTTTTTTTTCTATGAACATTTTGTACATTGTTGTGCCCGTACCAGTTTCCAGCACTTAGTTAATCATTTTTTTTTAAATCTACACATTAATACATGGACTTCAATGCAACCAGCTGAAAAAAAGAACAATTGAAAAGTGGACACTTTATTGACCTGTCATGGGGTCAGTCAGAAGAATAGCATTTTTCATTTTTTTCGTTTTAATTCTAGTCTTTTAGTCTCAACGCACTTCCACTTGCACCAAAAGAAGAGAAGAGCTCGAGCCACCCTTCTTACGTCACAGGGCACTGCACGAGGCAATTTTTCTTTGTATTATTATTATTATTTATTTGAGGGGTGTGTTTTTCCGCACAAAGTGTCCGCAGTTCTTCCTCAGTGTCGAATAAAACGAGGCCAGCCTCTTGAATTTCAGGATCACGATAGTAGCAATAATAATAATAATAATAATAATAATAATAATAATAATAACGACATATTAAAACAGCGCGTGCTTGAGAGCCCAACGTCCAACGTTATTATATAACTATGCACAAAAAAAAAGTTTTGAAGAGTTTTGGTCTCCTTTCTCCCTTGTGTCCACTTCACAGTTTGTTTTCGTTTAATATCTCATAAATAGCCTCTCCTTCACTTTGCCGCGTGCGTCCGTCGCTCCTTCGTCACAAAAGCATAAGCAGTGTCCTCGCTCTCGCGCCCTGGTGGCGGTGGTAGTGATGGTGGTGATGGTTCTGGGTTCGTTTCCCGTCCGTCCTCTCCACCGCTCTACCGCCTCAGTCCCGGGTCACAGGCCGAGCCGAGCCGAGCCGAGCCCCGCCCCGCCCCGCCGCGCGCGCGGGTCACAGGCCGAGCGCGGCCGCGTGCTTCTTGGCCTTCAGGCGCAGGTCAGCGATGCTGGAGTTCTTGTTGCTGTTCTTGGCGGCCGCCGCCGCCGCAGCCACGGACGCAGCCGAGGCGGACTCCGCGGCCAGCGTGGCCAGCGGCAGGCCGAAGGGCGGCGCCGGGAACATCATGTAAGGCGCGTGCGCCGCCAGGTGCGAGTGCAGGTGGTGGTGCGCCGCGTGCGCCACGGCGCTGTCCAGCTGCAGCTGCGCCTGCACCTGAAAGGAGAAGGGCGGCACGTTGCTATGACTATCCTACGGGACGGTACGGGGTGGGGGGGGGATGGGGGGGGTGGAGAAGGAGGGGGGGACACGTGTTAACTCAAGCGAGAGGGCAAAAAGCAAAAAGTGCAACAGTAGGGCAAATTCAGCATGCTCAGATACTATTGAAAGGGGAACTCCACCCATTTTTCGCAAATTTCTGCATAATCAAGTAAAGTGGTTTAGAGTGTTCTGAGTTGATGTCAGAATTGTTCACAGTGGTGGTGATGGGAATGAGACGTATGAAGTGTTTAATGCCTCTCAGGGCTACACTGTAAAAATTTTTAAAAAGTACGTAAAAAAGATTAACTTACAGTTCATTGAGTTGTATATAAGGTAATAGATGCAAAACACAAATGATTCCTGTTTAACTTAAAATTACAAGCTTAATGAACTCAAAACTTCAAGTTAACCTGGTTACTTACTTCTTAACGTTGCATAATTTGTCTTTATGGTTGTGATAAAGGTGCCTGGCGTCTGAGATGTTGTTTGACTGTTTTAAGAATATTTTGGCAAAATAGCCCCCATAAACATGGTGACCCCTGGTTCTTATCACCACCACTGTAAAGAAGTCTGAGTCTCTACAATCAACCATTTCACACCAAACCCCTCTGAATTACTCTGTTTACATAAATTACAAAGAATTTTTTAAAATATTAGTGGAATTCCCCTTTAATTCATAAAAATGTGATTTTAAATTGCTACATAAATGCACAAGCACTGCAACCAGAGTTGGGTAATGATGACATTAGCTTGCTGTTCTCTATAGACTTAGAGCATGTTGCGGTATTCTGGGACACTTGCATAAAAGACCTTAAGTGTGTTTTGGCCTTAAGTGTTTTTTTTTACCTTATGTGAGCTGCATAAAAGATTTCCACAGGAAAAAGTGGAAAATTTGAGTTTAGCATTCATAGGGGAATTCCACGAATGTTTCAAAATTTCTGCATGTGTGTGTGTGAGATGTAAACAGAGTGATTCAGGGTGGTTTGGTGTGAGATGGTTCAGATTTCTTTACAGTGGTGGTGGTAGAAACCAGGGGTTGCCATGAATATAACACTAATATAGACAATTTATTTAATATCCAAAACCATATCTGAAATAATAAGTTTAATTTGGGCACTATGTTGCCTCACTTGTACCTCTCCACCATAAGTTTATTTTAGGAATAAATTTTATGTCCAAACTTTCTCAAAACTATCATAAAACAGTGTCTCAGGCAGCAGGCAGTGTATTCATAACCACATGTAATAACGTTCTGTGATGGAGGTTTTAGAGGTGGACATCTGGTTCCTATCACCACCACTGTGAACAATTCTAACTTAGTAAGTTTCTCTAGAACAGAGCTACTCTGAGTGACTCTGTTTACTTCCAATTAGAAATTTTAAAATTTTGGTGGAATTCCCCTACATGCTTTTGCCAGTTTACAGCTTTACATTTATCCCTTAACATAAATCTTAAGGTGTTTTATGCAAGTAGCATAGCAGCGTGTGTATATGGTCATATGTAGTGTGTTAGGTATTGAGGGACAGTGCATTACATGGTGACATTGGACATAAATCATAGGCCCCAAATGATAAAAGCATTCTTTTAATCCATTTCCTGCTAAAAGTAACTATGTAAATAAGCCTTTATAGGCAAATAAGCATCAGCTGAAATTTGAGAAAACAAATGTTTCCCATATTATCCTTATTTGGGACACTCGTCTCAGTGGTCCTGAATAAAGCCTTTCTTTTTTCAATTTTTAAGAAATAGTTTTATTATTTACTGACCTGATCTGCAGTATGTTTTCGCTCATTTAGAAAGTATAGCATCGCCTGAAATTGAAATAAACAAAAGTGTCTTAATGTGTTAAAGTGTCCCAAATCAGCTCAGAATATCTAAATAATATTCAACAGTCCTCACAAATCATCTTTGAGCAGCTTTAATTATGATACATACTACATACTAATACAGTACATTAAGGCCAGAGCTGAATGGGTTTGTTTGCTTAGTGGACTGGCTGCTTCTTCTCTGAGTGTTTTAAATTTACATTCTAAAAAAAGATGGTTCTTCAGAGGGTTCTTTAGTAAAGGCAATGGTCCTATTTAGAACCTTGAGTTCTATATAGAACCGTGTCCACAAATGGTTCTATATGGCATCAAAAAGTTTTTGCTATTGTTTCGATGTCAAGCTTGTATACAATAGAAGAATCCTTTTTGGTGCCATATAGAGCCACATACAACACATTCTCCATCAATCTGAAGAAGCATTTCACCATGCAGAGAACCACTTAAGTATGAAGTGGTTCACAGTTCTAAATAGAACCTTTGTATTTGCTAAAGAACCCTTAAAGAACCATCTTTTAAGTGTTTAACACATTATGCTAACTAGACCTTTCCTAGTTAATAGCTGCTATCAATTGTTATTCAGTGCGTTTTCAACAACAGCATCATATGTCAGTTGTTCAGAATTCTATGAAAGGGGAATTCCACCGATTTTTCTAAATTTCTCCATAAGTAAATCTTAAAAAAGTAAAAAGAGTCATTCAGAGTGGTTTGGTGTGAAATGATCCGTTCTAGAGAAACTTACGGAGTCAGAATTGTTCACAGTGGTGGTGATAGGAACCAGACGTCCACCTCTAAAAGCTCCCTCACAGAAAGTTACTACATGAAATGGTTACAAATATGTTGCCTGCTACTTAAACCAATTTACTTCTCTTTCATATTCATCACTATTTTACCATCATTAACAATCCACACAAAAACTCAGAAGACTTGTGTAGGTTCACTGGTTGTTTTGGATAGTAAATAAAATCTCTATATTTGTGTTGTAGTCATGGCGACCCCTGGTTCCTATCACCACCACTGTAAAGAAATCTGAACCATTTCACACCAAACCACTCTGAATGACTGTTTACATCTCAGCGACAGGGAATTACACTGAAATATTGAATTTTTTGAATATTTGAAAAATCTGTGAAATTCCCTTTTTTTAATTCTAAGTTTCTACATTTGAGTTGTAACTGGTTACATTTACTCAGTTCCAAGTTCTCAAATAATATTTTAATTAGTATCTTTCAAATGATAACATACATTCTTAAAAAAAAAGGCACTGCAAGGGTTTTTAGCAAAGGAAGTGGATCTATATAGATATATATATGCTTAAATGGTTCTTTGCGTGGTAAAATAGTTCTTCAGACTGACAGAGAATGTGTTGTTTGTGGTTCTATATAGGAACTTTTTGAAAATGGATCTATATAGCACCAAAAATTGTTCTTCTATTGTTGACATCGTAACAACCATATACAACCACATTCCATATAGAACCATATACAACACATCCTAAATCAATCTAAAGAACCATTTCTCCATGGAAACAACCATTTAAACGTGCAAATGGTTCTATATAGACCTCATGGTTCTAAATAGAACCATTGCCTTTGCCCAAGAATCCTGGAAGAACCACCTTTTTTAAGCGTGTACTTCTACTCAAGTGTGTGTGAGGAAAGCAGGTCCATTCTGGTCCTTTAGTTTTATAGTTTAACTTCATGTTGTTGTTCCTCTCATTTTTGAGCTTTGGCATTTTATTTTAGGCCAATTCAGAATCCAGAAAGAGAAGATCAAAGCCAAACAAACTTCACTTCCTGTACTGATAAATACTGGGTGGACTAAGAAGTTCCACTACAGTTCTACAGGGAACTTCTTGAGGAGTCTTTAGGCCTGAGACCTTCTCACTCCTACTCGAGCTGGATTCTATTCCTCCTGCTTGAGGCTTTATTTCATTGAGGTAAGAACATTTGTAGGCCACTTGTGGTTAAGGAGATGCTGTGGCTTTAGCATGGCCTGACTGAGCAGGCCAGAGAAGTGTCAGTGTAGATCAACTGCCTTCACTTGAGCACTGAAATAATGTAAGCTGACCCTAAAAGTAGCGTTTGCAGAATGCTTCCACATCAGAAACCTAGGATCTATTCCATGGCAGTTGGAGCTGGCCCGCGCCAGAGCAGCACTGTGGGCACCGGCTTCTGTCAAAGACCATGCATACACCTCAGAGCCACTTGCCTGTTGGAACGGCATGCGCAGAGCTCCCACGTTGACATATGGCGCGACACGACACGCTTCGAACTGACTCGCAGCTCCGATGAGCACCCCTGCAAAAAAAAAAAAGAGAGAGAGAGGCGATTTATCTGGGCTTTCCACCTTCACATGGGGTTTGAAGCTCTCATGGAGAAGCTCCAGAAGCCCCCAGCATGGATTATACCATCTAACACCCACCTGCAGCTTTCACTCCATGCTCTACGTGCTCACCATGCTCTTGTATGTGTGTATTGTTCAACATATAAATTCAACTGGGCCTGCTCTTACGGGGGATTCAGGTCATATGGGACAGTGTTTTGGGTATTGTGTGTTAGGTAAGGTAAAAATTAGATCAGATAACAGAGGTAACAAGTTAAATAGTAGTTAAATGACACTGAGTGATATGGGATGGCATGTGTTATGGGACAATGTATTGGGTTTTATTGGACTGTGTGTTGGGTATTTTGTTCAGTGTGTTCAGTATTGTCTGTTAATGAAGATAACCTTAAGTTAAATAATGTGGTGTAGCATGTTGGAGTCTGTGTTACGTATTATGTGACAGTTTATTGAGTAATATGATTGGGTGTTTGGGTTTGGGTTTGTGTGTTAAGTATTATGGGACAATGAGTTGGGTATCATAGGAATAGTGTGTTAGGTATAATGGGAAAGTATGTTGGTATTACAGGACAGTGTGTTAGGTACTTTGGTTTAGTGTGAAATTGGTTTCGTGTTAATTATATAAAACTGTGTTGAGTGTTATGGGATAGTGTGTTGGGTGATAAAAGGCAGTGTGTTAGGTATTTTAGGACAGTGTGTTGGGTAATATGAGATAGTGTGTTGTGTGTATTTTGGCACAATGTGTAGCATATTATTAGGTATTATAAGACTGTGTTATGTATTATAAACAGTGTTAGATATTATAAGACTGTTGACTGTGTTGGGTAAAATAAAACAGTGCATTGGGTTATTATAAAACAGCATATTGGGTTTTATAAAGCTGTGTTAGGAATAAGGGCAGAGTGTGTTAGGAATTATAAGATTGTGTTAAGTTTTGTGGGGCAGTATGCTGAGTATTGTAGAACTGTGCTACGCATTGTGGGGCAATATATTGGGTATTATAAGACTGTGTTAAGTATTATGGGACAGTATTATGTTTATTATATGATTATTAAGTATGATGTGACAGTACATTAGGTGTTATACGACTATATTAAGTATTATGCGGTAGTATGTTGGGTACTATAAGACTGTGTTAAGTATTATGGGACAGAATGTTGGGCATTGTAAGACTATGCAAAGTATTACGGGACAGTAAGTTGGGCATTGTAAGACTGTGAAGTATTATAGGACAGTAAGTCAGGTATTATAAGACTGTGTTAAGTATTATGGGACAGTATGTTGAGCATTGTAAGACTGTGTTAAGTATTATGGGACAGTATGTTGGGTATTATAAGACTGTGTTAAGTATTATGGAACAGTATGTTGGGTATTATAAGACTGTGTTAAGTATTATGTGGCAGGATGTTGGGTATTATAAGACTGTGTTAAGTATTATGGGGCAGGATGTTGGGTATTATAAGTCTCTGTTATGTATTATGGGACAGTATGTTGGGTACATACATTACTGTCAAATCAAGTGGTCTTCATTATGGTCCTCAGTGTAACTTGGATACACTTTTACGAATTGTCATTCTTACCATAGTATAACAGTGTGTTAGGCATTATAAGACTGCGTTAGCTATTATAAAACAGTGTTAGGCATTATAAGACTGCGTTAGCTATTATAAAACAGTGTTAGGCATTATAAGACTGCGTGAGGTATTATAAAACAGTGTTAGGTATTATAAGACTGCGTTAGCTATTATAAAACAGTGTTAGGAATTGTGAGACAATATGTTCGGTATGACTGCATGTCGGTTATTGTGAACCAGTGTGTTGGGTGTTATGGGGCAGAGTATTTTATGGTATTGTAGAAGACAAATAATAGGCCCTATTATGAAACATTTATTTTAATAAATTTCCCACGAAAAAATCATTGTTTTAATTTAATAACATTGTGTACAGTATTAAACAACAACATCAACTGAAGTTGGAATTGGAGAGGTTCTTAAAGCGTCCTGTCACCTGAGGGCCCAGAATGCCTGAATCCAGCCTAAAAGCGTGCCTGATCAAATCTGCCAATCTTAAATCTATTTATTTTTAATTAATGCAATAAAAATCGTCACAGTCGTCAGTGAAGACTCAGCGCTTTTCTGTGGGTTTATTACAGTGAGATAAAGGCAGATATAGAGCGGCTCACCTTTATGAAGCTGGTTCTCCTGTTTTCTGCACTTCGCTCTCCGGTTCTGGAACCAAACCTGCAGGAGAAAAACAAATAATTAATAAATCAGCTAAAACAGAAAAATATTAAACGTCATTACATTCTAGCACGAGCGCGCAAACGCGACTCCTTTGGAAATTACAAGGAGGACAAAACTGCGCGCGTCCCCGAGGAGCTCTGAAATATTAATGACGCTTAAGCCCACAGTTTGATGATTAGAGGCGCGAGGACGAGCAGGCGACCATACAACAATTAAAAAAATACATAAGTGAAACAAATAATAATAAAAAAAACGACATTAAAAATATATAACGAAATAAAAATATAAAAATGAAATTAAATAATAATAATGTGCACCCATAGAAATACACGAATGAATTATCCACCCGAAAAAAGAGAAGAAAAAAAGAAAAGGAGCGCATTAGAGAGGTATAAATAATGGAGCAGGAGAGGGGGCTGATGGAAACGCGCATGTTAAAGCGGCCCATAATAAACTGGCTCTGTCTCTCAGCCCCGGTTTCATCTTTCCATCAGCCTCCCAGAAGCTCCGAATCGACTGGCTGATACCGAACACCAGCGCTGAGATCGGAGCGCATGAAGCCTATCTGACAAAGCATTAGCAGACGCGCCAAATTAATTACCTTTATCTGCACCAAAATTTATGTTAGTGATTCGACTAATGGCGCGCGGTTCAGTTTAATTACCGTCAGAACAAGTTTGGGCACAAAGCCCCCTGTTTGAAGACGCTCGCTCCTTTTATTTCTTTCTTTCTTTTTTTTTTTTACTAAATGTTTTGTTATGAGTATCTGGGATTTCAAGATTAGGCGTCTCATTACTATGTTAATCTACTCTGAATCCCCCCACAGAGAGGTGGGCAGATGAAGCGCAGTGTGGACTCAGACCCAACCTGAGATATTTCGTTTGGAAAATCAACCGCAAAATGTTTAAAAATAAAAAAATGCTTTGACCGCTAATTAAAACGAAATTTTGCAGTTGTCGAAAATTAGGAACGAAACAGGGAGGCGGGTGCGGTGTTTAAAAGGTTTGTAGCACATCCAGCTCACTGATAAGGCCTCTAATAGACGAACAGGGCTCAGACAGGTCTGTTTCCAGCATGTTTTGCTCTAAGAAACAAATTTTAGAAACAAGCGCCCTGTGAGCGCCGCTAAAGCATCAGATCTTCCTGGGGGTAAAAAATGATCCATAATTTATGGTAATCCGCGCTGGGGACACAAAGCGACCAGAGGAGACCCTCAGTTCACTTTTTTTTTCTGGGACTTCTGGGTACATTCACATTTTCACAGCGCCGGGCTGAATGGATGAAGAGAGTGAAAGACGATATTGTTCGTTTTTTTTTCTCTCCTTTTGATTTTTGATCAATCCCCCATCAGTACTGATGTCTAATGTTCATTGTCATTATTAGTGGGCTTCAGTGGCTCGTCTCTCCTTACACGAGCGGACTGAGGGTCTTAACGAAGACAGCTTATTAGGTTTCTGCGCAGATGGTCGTCCCTTAAAAAAATAAAAACGCTACGATTACAAATTTGTGCTCCCAAATAAAGAAGTGTTTTTTTTTTCAAAGAAGGAGACAAACAAGGTCTGGTTCCAGTTTCCAGAATCTATTGATTTGTAAACACACCCAACACAACTATAATCTAATTCCCCTGTAGTCTCCGAAGCGCAATGAAAAACAGAGCGCGACTAATAAAAATGCGGTTAAGACGATTAAAATAGAGATTGGCGCAATTTCACTTAACAAATGAGGCGAACGCAAAATAAGACACGAATCAGATAGCACTCATCACAGCAACATGCGAACAAAATTACAGCCTAAAAAATAAAACAGAGCAGAAATAAATCAAACAGTGCCAAATAGAAATTAAATATCCGTTGACAAATCAAACAGAACCTAATGAGAATAAAATAGAACCAAATACAAGCCAAATAGAACCTAACAGAATAAAATAGGCCCAGATACATGCCAATCAGTGCTAAATACAAATTAAACAGCGACAAATACAAATTGCAAATTAAACAGAAATTAGCGTCACACTACAAATCAGAGTTAAATAGAAATTAGCGCCAAACTACCAATCAAATGAATGAAATAGAGCAAATCTACAAATCAAACAGGGTCAAACAAAACTTGTATCCCCTTCAGAATAAAGTATACACCGCTGTTTTTCTTCATTTGGAAAGGGTAAGCTCAGTTGCACAACTTGGTTCCTCTGTCTATAAACTGTATTTGGAGCGTTTTATCCCAGCAAACAGCTGAAACGTTTGTGCTCTGCTCTGCTCTCATCCCAGCTGGGTTCTAATCAGCCCTCTGCTTGCTCTGCAGGGACTGTGGTTCTAGTGGCTCGGGGCCTGTAGGTCTCTAATTCATGTTCAAACAAGGTGGCAATTAGGACTGAAGTGGCCAAAGCCGTCACCTGGACAAGCCTGTTTTTTTCCCTGAGAATGCACAAAAAGACTAAAACCACAAGCAAGACCACAGAGCTGGCTACACAATCTGACATTCTGTCCGCGCGATAAATATTTTGTCAACCTAAAAAACGTAAGTTGCTTCATGTGGTTGAACTGGTTTGATTCGAGTCAAACAAATTCTTCCATTAAAATGAAGCAAAACTAAACAGCTCAGAAGAACACAGGCCATGTTTTACATCAGGCCCGATCTCAACAACAAATCTCTGACCTTTTTTTCCATTTTTTTGCTGCGAAGCTCACTCCCACGCAGAGTTCAGCAGTCCTGCTGTAACTCACAGCACAGCGCTATAATCACTGCCTCACACTTAGAAAGTGTAGAAAATCAGCATTATTATTATCATTACAGGTCCCTAAACACGTTCACTACAATGCAGCGTTCATCTATATGTTGTACACACGTGTATATATATATATATATATACATATATATACATATATTGTGGGTTTGTTTACTTACTGGACTGCCTTCTGCTTCTCTGAGTATTAAAAAAAAGATGGTCCTTCAAGGGTTCTTTAGTAAAGACACTGGTTCTGTTTACATCAATGAGTCCTATATAGAACCTTTTGCATGCTAAAATCGTTCTCTGCATGGTGGAATCGTTCTTCAGATTGATGGAGGATGTGTTGTGCATGGTTCTATGTAGCTTCTTCTTGGAAATAGTTCTATAGAGCACCGAAAACCGTTCTTCAGAACCCTTAGAACCCAATCTGAAGAACCATTTCACCATGCAGCCAAACCAGGGCTGGTTAGAAAAAGAGTGGCGCTAAAAGAACAGTGGCGCTAACACCCTTTACTTTGCGTCAGTGCAGAATCCGTATACAAATAAAACAAGAACCAAGCAAAGTGATAAAGCAGCGCTATAGCTCCCTGAGCACGCGCACCGCTCCTGCTCACAACTCACTCCAAAGCACCAAAGCTGAGTTAAGGTATAAAACAAACTGGCGCTGTTTTCCAGATCAAACTCATTTGCGCCAGCGCAAAATTTGCGCCCTCGTTCATAAAAATGAGCCGCACTTTATAATATTTAAGAAAGTGTCCCGTACCTGCACGCGCGCCTCTGACAACCCGAGCCTCTGGCTGAGCTCCTCGCGCATGAAGGCGTCCGGGTAGTGCGTCTCGTCGAACAGGCGCTCGAGCTCGTTGAGCTGCTCCAGAGTGAAGTTGGTGCGGCTGCGCCGCTGCTTGATCTTCGTCTGCGTCTCGTCCTCGGCCGCCTTCGCCTCCTCCCTGCGCTCCTTCACCTCCGTGGCACCTTCAGAGGGAGAGAGAGAGAGAGAAAGGCACAGCGTCAGCTCGCGCCTGCAGCGGCGGTGGCGGGGAGCTCGTGCTTATTATTATTTTTTTTTTCGGGCTCTTAAATTATTCACTCCAGTTTACATTTGCATGATGATCAGAATTTATCGTTTAGAATAATGTGGAGGAAATAAATACAGGATAGAAACAAAACACACACACACAGACAGACAGACACACACACACACACACAAACACACACACACACACGATAACAATACAACACAATAAGCAAAAATCTAATAAGCAGAATTTAAAACCGCACAGACTTATGCATTAATTATTTACACTTGTTTATTGATTATAGCTTATTGATAATAGCTGATCGTTACAATGTAGCCTATTACTATAATGATTATTATTATTAATAGTAGTAGTAGTAATGGTGGTAATACTGTTGTTATTGTTATAATTATTAGCCTATTATTGTCGTTATTGTTAGTGTTAGGAGACCTATTATTATTATTATTATTATTATTATTGTCGTTATTGTGATTGTTGTGGTTGTTTTACTTGTTGCAGGCTTATCTTATCTCATCCTTTCACTTTCCTTTTTTTAACCACAATTTCAGCCTCTTCAAAAACAGCACAAATACTAAACTAGAATCTAAACTCTGATTTGCTGAATTTTGCGACAGATATATGAATATAATTTTAGCATCGTTTAGCATTTTTAACCTCTGTGCTGCTGCTGTTTCCGCAACAGGGCTTAAAACACATTAAAATACACATATTATACTTTTTTTTTCATAACCTTCTCGAATAAGAAGAAGAAAACAATTTTTTTCTCCCCAAAACTGCAAAACTGAAATAACAACAAAATAATGTGAGAATTACAGCTGAATTTCTGGGGCGTTTTGAGAGGTCTGCACGAGCTTTTCAGGGCCTAGTTTTATTATTATTTTAAAGATAAATGTAAATGTAAATGTATACAACACAGCTAAACACGCTGTTTTGAATTTAAAGGTTCGAACGTGCCAACCGGAAATCAGAATCTCATTTTCATTGTGAAGTTTTAGGTGCTGCAGCATTTCTCCTGAATTATCTACTAACCAATACATTCAAAAACTCATTTAAAGAGACTTTTTGCAACTGCAATTTTTCCTCATTTGCCTTAAAAAATTGAAGTGAAATTTGCTGTGAATTTATCTGAATGTTGCACGTGAATAGAATTTGTGTCTCAGCTCTTCTTTTTTGTTCTTAATCTTTTTTATATGTGTGATTTTTGTTGTTGTTGTTATTGTTATTATTTTTGTCACCCACACTGGTGCACGCGCTTACCGTCGGTCAGTTTGGGGCTGCACGAGTCCCTCCTGTCCGGCCCGGTCATGTCCGAGTCCCGCGGCGGCGGCGAGCGGGCGCCACCACCTCCCCCTGCGCTTCCTCCGAGCCGCGCTCCAGCAACGGCGTCCTCGCGCGCCGCGTCTGCGGCCAGAGCGTCCCGCGGGCGCGCCGAGCCGGCGGCCTCGAGCACCTCCCGGTACGTGATGGCCTCCTTCTTCTCCTTCACTTTCTGATCAAAAGATTTGGACACAAAAGCGGTCAGCTCTTCCATCCCCGGCAAAGAGAGGGAGAAGAAGAAGAGGAGGAGAGGAGGAGGAGAAGAAGAGGAAGACGATGATGGCTGGTGTTGTTGATGAAGAAGTAGGAGAAGAAGGAGAAGAAGGAGAAGTAGAAGGAAGGAGGGGGTGAAACAAGCACCACCACCACCTCTCTCTCTCTCTCTCTCTCTCTCTCTCTCTCTCTCTCGGGCTCAGTTCCTCAACAGCCCGTGCGATAAGAAGACATCGAGGTGCGTGCGTGCGTGCGCGCGCCCCTCTGTGCGTGTGTGCGCGCGCGTGTGTGCGGTGAGGTGGACGGCGGGCTCTGCCAGCTCTGCTCACTTCTCTGCCTTTTACACCGTGTCGAGGAAAGAAGGAAGGGCAGAAGGAAAGAAAGGAGAAAGAAGAGAAAAGATCTCGTCCCAAAAAAATTCCGCGCGGAGTCACAGGACCTGCTGCTGCTCGTGCGCTATTGAAGTCACACTATTTATACTTTGCAACGCCTGCCCCCCCTTGATCCGTGCAAATTACCCCCCCTCCTCCTCCTCCTACCTACACCCCCACCACCACCCTCCGCCACCGACCCACCCAATCCTCAGAAAGCCCCCCCCCTTCACGCGCACATCACCTTCAACACAGGCTGCTATTGGCCGTCAGTCCGAGACTGACAGCAGCACCGACAGCACCGCGATCCTCCTCACTCACTTTATTACCTATTTATTTATTTATTTATTTATCTGTTAAAGTGTTGTTGTGGTCACGCGAGCTCTCCCCACTTTTTGTGGGGGGTGGAGGAGGGGGGTGTTGGCGAAAGGGGGCGTGGCTACAGACAATTTCAGAATTCTTAGTAAATAAATAAATAAATAAATAACAAAAATAAAACGCGCGGTGCGGTGGAAGAGAGCACGTGCAACCAGCCAGCCTTTGATCTCCCGGTACAAGAGGAGGAGAGAGAAAGAGAGAGAGAGAGAGAGAGAGAGAGAGAGAGAGAGAGAGAGAGATCTGGAGACACGGAGGGTGAAGAGCGAAGGAGAGCGAGGCGCGCGAGCGGTGCAGAAACATTCCGAGGCGTGAGACTACTTCTTTTAAGAAAACAAAAAACACAACAAAACAAAACAAAACAAACAAACAAACAAACAAACAAACGCGTTTTAACAGTACAGAGCGCACGCGCGAAGCCATAGTTTGTAGGCGCTCGTGATGTTTTTGGTAGGTAGAATCTGCAATAGTTAATAATTTGAATTAATAGTTTAGGCTGTTTTTTTATTTTGGTGTGAACAAATAATAATACAACAATAATAATTATGAATTATTGTTATTAACTAAAATCTAATCTCTACGTACTTTCATATATATATGTGTGTGTGTGTGTGTGTGTGTGTGTATGTATGTGTATGTGTATGTGTATATGTGTATATATATATATATATATATATATATATATATATACATATATATATATATACACATAAAGTCTCCATATTATTCTACCACGCTCAACATTTTAAACCTAATCCACTGTTTACAATAAAGTCTAATTTCATTAATTCACACAATAAGCTTCAAAGGCAAACAGTTCATGCGCGTGATGTTAATGACTGCACATGTTTAAGCCTTTTAAACCCGGACTAAACATTTCGGTCCCCGGAGGAGGAGAGGAGAGAGGGAGAGGAGCAGAGGAGGCGCTCAGGGCTGTTAATGAGTGAAAAAAACTGCTGAAATTATGACGGATTTGGCGAAAATAAATAATGCATCGTTTGCGGTGAAGGTAACCGAGCGTCTCCTGGGACGCGGCGATTTAGGAGAAATTAAACAGACAAAATACGACAAGATATGAGATCCAGCACGAATATTACGCTCGTGGAGGCGAAAAGTGGAGCTGCTTATTGATAATCTATATGAAATAGCCCTCCATTTCCCACCAACAACTCTCCTCGTTAAATATTCATGATGCTCTTCAGATCTGCGGGCTTTAATTATTATTTTATTTCCTGATGTCCTTCCGCGTTTTCTCACGCTAATGAAAAGTAATGAGCGCTTTGTTTCACTGTTTGGACTGTAGACTCGGTGCTGACAGATGCTGGCCTCTTATCTGAGGGCTATATGTCGCTTTATTACGTTATAATACGTGTGATCACATTAGTGAACAATGCATTTTGTTTTACTCCTTCTTTTATTATCTCTGCGTTTATTTTGGCTTTTTATTCAGACTTTTGTTATATTTTTTAACAGTGGAGGGAAAAATGCCTTTGGTCATGTTCATAGTCAATGGGCAGTGAAGCAGGGGACTACAAATAGAGCCCACAGCTATTGTTCGAGTGCAGTGGCATTCACATTTAAACATTTTTTTACTCTGAATATTTTAAACACAGCACAAAAAAGGTTATTTCTGTACGTAGGCAGTGAGAAACAAAGGAAGGAAGCGTCTATTTCTTTTTCTCTGCCTCTGTGTGTCTGTTAGAGAGCAGCTGCTGAGCTGAGCGTTTCGCTTTCTCTCTTAATTATGATTGTTTTTAAAATTAAAATGGTAAAAAAAAATTAACATGGATAAAAAGCGTTTTCTGTCCACAATTAGGCTTTTATTTTGCAGAATAAGTGAACTACATTCTTAAAAAAAACTGGAACGGTTCTACTTAGAACCGTGAGTTCTCTATAGAACCATTTGCATGCTTAGTTGGTTCTTTGTATGGTGAAATGGTTCTTCAGATTGACGTACAATGTGCTGTATATGGTCGTACATAGAACCTTGTTGAAAATGAATCTATCTAGAACCAAAAAGGGTTCTCCTGATATTTATTTGGTGCTATATAGAACCATATACGACACATTCTCTATCAATCTGGGCAACCGTTTCACCATGCAAAGAGCCATTTAAACATGCAAATGGTTCTATATAGAGCTCATGGTTCTAAACAGAACCATTCCCTTTACTAAAGAACCCTTGAAGAACCATCTTTTTTAATTGTGCCTAATTATGCAGCTGAACTTCAATGTGAACGTTATAAAGTCTAAATCTAATACGACCTGTTAATAATCAACACACAGTTTGTTAACATCTTAAAGGAGAAGTCCACCGACTTTTCATTATTTCTGCTTTATTAAATGGTAAAGATGCAAACAAAGTCGTTCCGAGTTCAGAGTGTGAAATATTCCGTTCTAGAGAAACTTTCCGAGTCAGAATTGATCACAGTGGTGGTGATGGGAACCAGACGTCCAACGTGTTAAATAAGTGTTCATGGAGGAGAATGTTGTGAAGCAAAATTGACATTTTTTTCCAGATTTTTTACTATTTTACCATCATTTATATTCCATATAAATACTCAGAAGACTCGTGTAGGTTCACTGGTGGTTTTGGATAGTCAACAAAATGTCTATATTTGTGTTGTAGTCATGGCGACCCCTGGTTCCTATCACCACCACTGTAAAGAAATCTGAGTCTCTACAATCAACCATTTCACAACAAACCACTCAGTTAATCTCAGAAATTGAATTATGCGGCAAATTTTGAAAATGGTGGAGTTCCCCTTTAAGCTTTAGTATAAAGGACGCATGAAAATGAACCGTGACCAGCAGCAGCGTTGAAAGTAAGAGAGAAATACTCAGTAATGACTAAATGCGACTCTGTCTGAATGAACAGTGTGACTGAATGTTTCTGAGCTCCGCGCAGATGATGACCGGGAAGACGTGAAGTCGATCGATTGCTCGCAGTTTGATTTCGCGTGCTGGTTCACCATCACGTTCTCCATATCGACTTTCAATGCCTGCTTCTCTCTGTATGGCGCCGGTGTTTGAGTTTGAGCTGCTGTGTGGACTCGTTTCTGAGATTTAACGGGCGGTAAGAGCCGAATAGTTCATTATTTCAGTTGGTCTGAATCACCCGTACTGTGCTGTTAGGTTAACTGCCTCTTATGTTGTGCTGGTGTAGTTAAAAGCGCTCGTTAGCGTTAGCCAACCCCAGCCAATGTCACTGCCTTTTTAGTTATAGTTAGCAAGCGAGCTAACAGATAACAACAAAAGGGGAATATTGTGTGTGTTTCATAATATTTCCATCTTTTCTCATGTGTTCTGTTGATGTGACGGCGAGGAAAGATGTTGAACGAGCTGTACTTTAGCCAGTTAGCTAATGCTATCTGAGTAACCGTTGTTGTTGTCGTTATTTTTTTATTATATTTTTGCTGTGTGCTCACATGTATGACATAACATGTATGTGACATGTGTAACATACTGAACACACCAGCCAAGCACAGAGAGTGTTAACAAGTTTTAACTAGGAGGGAAATGAAAAAAAGTAGAACAAATAAACTAGAGAATGAGAGAATAACGAACAACCAACGTAAGAGGAGCTAGGAGAGATGTGTAAGTAGCTGTACACATCGATCAGCCATAACATTAAAACCACCTCCTTGTTTCTGCAATCACTGTCCATTTTATCAGCTCCACTTACTATATAGGTGCACTTTGTAGTTCTACAGTTACAGACTGTAGTCCATCTGTTTCTCTGCATACTCTGCATGTTTGTCAGTGGTCAGGACCCTCATGGACCCTCACAGAGCAGGTACTATTTGGATAATTTTCAGCAGTGACACTGACGTGGTGGTGGTGTGTTAGTGTGTGTTGCGCTGGTCTGAGTGGATCAGACACAGCAGTGCTGCTGGAGTTTTAAACACCTCAGTGTTGCTGCTGGACTAAGAAGCAAAAACATCCAGCTGACAGCGTCCCGTGGGCAGCGTCCTGTGACCACTGATGAAGGACTAGAGGATGACCAACACAAACTGTGCAGCAGCAGATGAGCTATCATCTCTGACTTTACATCTACAAGGTGGACTGACAAGGTAGGAGTGTCTAATAGAGTGGACAGTGAGTGGACACATTGTTTAAAAACTCCAGCGCCTCTGCTGTGTCTGATCCACTCGTACCAGCGCAACACACACTAACACACCACCGCCTTGTCAGTGTCACTGCAATGCTGAGAATGACCCACCACCCAATAATACCTGCTCTGTGGGGGTCCTGTGGGGGTCCTGACCACTGAAGAACAAGGTAACAGAGTATGCAGAGAAACAGATGGACTACAGTCTGTAATTGTAGAACTACAAAGTGCACCTATATGTTCAGTGGAGCTGATAAAATGGACAATGAATGTAGAAACAAGGAGGTGGTTTTAATGTTATGGCGTATATACAGATATGAATGTCTATACAAATGCTGGTCTGAGGAGACATAGAGTTTGATACAATGTAATATACACAATATTAATGGATGATATGAACATAATAAGTATTATGGTACGTACAGTAAAGGATAGATGTGAACAGAATGATTAAGAGCGGTTTGGTGTGAAATGGTTGATTGTAGAGACTCTTTACAGTGGTGGTGATAAGAACCAGGGGTTGCCATGACAACAACACAAATATAGCCAATTTATTTACTATACAAAACCGCCAGTGAACCTACAAGAGTCTTTTGAGTTTAATATGGAATGTTAATGATGGTAATATAGTGATAAATCAATGCCCTGCATGTGTCCCTCCGTTATGAATGAATATCTAAAAATATGGTTTAGGCCAAAATTTTCTCAAAACTGTCAAAAAAATGGTGTCTCAGTGATCAAGCAGCGTATTCATAACCATTTAATGTCCTTCTGTGATGGAGCTCTTAGAGGCATTAAACTCTTCAGACGTCTGATTCCTATCACCACTCCTGTGAACAGTTCAGACTCTAAAGCAGAGCCTTTCCCATCGAACCAATCTGAATGATTTTGTTAACAGTATAACTATTTAATGTTGGAGAAATTTTGAAAAATAAAAAAAGGTGGAATTCGCTTTCATGAAAACTTTAGCTTAGCTTAAACAAAGCAACCAGTTTTTTTCGAGATCTGCTGTCTTTTTAGAGTGCATTAACTTTACTACTTAAAAACATGCTCCAAAAAACACAGCGTTTATGAAGTATTTGAAGGATCCACATATAAAATGTTGTCATTTTACTTTGCAGAAGATGAGAAAATTGTCTCTGCTTGACTGTCAGTGACCGCAGCGTTTATTTTTTTGAGAGAGGCTGTATTAATAATAGTAACGATAGTGCTATTAATAACAGTAACAGTCAGTAGTGAAGGTAAAATTTGCCATCATCCCTTTTTTTTTTTGCCACCCTTGTTTAGCGCTGGGCAATATTGATAAAATTCAGTATCAGTATACCTTCCAAATGTATTACTGTATCAGATAATATTTAAGTTAGCATCAGTGAAGTTAATAAATCCATTTTACCTCCGTGCTGCTCCTCTTGACTAAAAGGTTCTCTAACAGGCAGAGCTTGTTCCGTTCTCTTAAAGTTAAACCAAAGTTGTACTTGTACTTCTTGTACTTCATTGTAAATGTTAAACAGACACAGTTTGAGACTCCCAGTAAAAGTCACGCATTGCTGTTAACTCTCAGGTCCTACGATGGCATTTTAGGGCCACTGCTAATAAAAATAAAAATAGTAGACTTTGAGGATAAGGTTGTAATATTTTGAGAATGAAGTCGTAATATTTTGAGAGAAAAGTCTGTACTATTTCAAGAAAAAAGTCGTACTAATTCGAGAAAAAAGTCGTACTATTTTGGGAAAAAAGTCGTAATATGTCGAGAATAAAGTTGTAGTATTTTGAGAAAAAAAGTCGTAATATTTCGAGAAAAAAGTCGTAATATTTTGAGAAAAAAGTCATAATATTTTGAGAAAAAAGTCGTAATATTTCAAAAATATAGTCATAATATATCGCGAATAAGTTGTACTGTTTCGAGAAAAAAGTCTTAATGTGTTGAATATTCGAATTTCAAATAAAGTGGGCTAACTGTAGGGGGGCTGCCATAACGCGTTGGGGCCTCAGTTGCTGTACTGGCGCCGGAGTTCCACTCACTCCTGTCTCCTTGTGGATCATTTTGATTATCATTCTTGCTGTCTGTGGAACTTCATGCCCTCTTTGAATGGCGTGGAGATGTAGCCCCGATAGCCGTGTAGACGACCCTGCCTGAGATTCTCCTTGAACAAAACAGACAGACAGTTTCCTCCGAGTCCGTCTGGCTCTTTATTCTAGATAAACACAGTTTCCTGCTCAGCCGTTTCAGCTGTTTTCTTATACTAATAACAGGCTGGTGCTGATGTGCAGGAGAAACAGGGAGACTGAGTATTTCTTTATGTGTGAAATCGATATGAAAGTGTAACTCCACCAACTCAACGCCCCTCATTTAACACGAGGGAGGTGCTGCCTTCCCTTTGCAAAGCCACAATATTGAGCCCTTTCTGGCATTAATGCCACTTTAATGTCGTAATTCTACGTCTTTTTTCTCTAAATATTACGACTTTTTTCTTCTTGAAATAGTACGACTTTTTTTTTCCGAAATATTATGACTTTATTCTCGAAATATTATGACTTTATTCTCGAGGTCTACTATTTTTATTTTTATTAACAGTGGCCCTAAAACGCCGTCGTACAGGTCCTGACAGGAGTAAAATGCATGGAATGAAATAAAAAAACAAAATGAAAACAAACCATTTGGCAACAGCTCATTGCTGTTCTTTGGGATTTTAATCAAGAATATTACGCTCATTATCAAACGTGCCACCAAAATATTGTTAAAACTGAAAAACAATATCACAGCACAGTTTTAAGCAATTTCTTCGAGGTTTACCCTTATTTGGCTGATTTGCTTAATTCTTCTCCTCTCATTCCTCCTTTCGCTCCAGAGACTGAGTGAACATGGGCCGGCGTTCTTCAGACAGCGAGGATGACAGCCGCAGTCGGAGAAAGAGGAAGCACAGACGGCGCTCCTCATCCTCCTCCTCCAGCTCATCAGGGAGCAGAGTGACGAGCCGCAGCAAACACTCCAGCAGGAGAAGTCGCTCCCGCTCCAGAGACCGAGAGCGAGAGAGAGACAGGGACCGAGACAGGAGGTAGAGTCTGAGAGCTGTCTAATCACATCTGCAGACAAGAATAACTAAAACTGTGTAGGAGATGACGTCACTTGGAGGATTGTTATGGTTAAGTAAGGTACCGTACCTGAGTACAGGTACTGAACCTGGGGCCGTATTACAGAAACGTCCTGTCTTTTTGTCTTAACTTAAGATCTGACAGGTCAAGATAAGATTTTTCACAAATTCATATTACAGAAGCAAATCTGGGGCCATATTACAGAAAATTCTTAAGTCTGAGATCATATCTTATCTGCTTTGTTGTCATGGCAACTTCAGTTAAGACTAAAGTTAGGACAGAAGCCATTACTGAACAACAGTTCTTAAGTCTATAATCTGATCTTATTTAGTTGCCAAAATATCCTAAATATTTTCTTAACTTTAAGATAAACCCCAGAGAGTCTTAACTTCTGTTTTAGTCTGTTTCTATTGTTTTATGCAGTGACAGGCAGCACAGTTCACTATAACTAGAATAATGACGCTATGTTTAACTATATTGAAAACGGTGCTTTGACTTGTGAGTTTTTTTTAAACAGCGTTTTTTTAAAAACTCAGACACTGCACACACGATCTCTACCGTCCCTCTTATTACCTTTGTGTGTTAATGTTTGACAAAAACTCGTTAGATACAGTATTACAGTGATGGTGGTGAATAATGAGGAGACGGAGCTGAACGTGTGTCTGTTTGTTAGAAGGAATAACGTTAGTGCGCTCGGCTAAAGCGTTTGAAAATTAAACTGAAACTGGAAACAGCGACACTCTGGAAAAACAGCACGAAGCGCTGACACAATATTCTTAACTCTCAGTTTATTGCGCTTTAGTTTTATTTGACCTTTTTTACATTAGTAACCGTAACTAACATTAGCTGTCTGTTACTAACTAACTTGAGAACATGTTTGTGACAGATTACATCAGGTAACAGAAGCTCATGTTGGCTAGCATCACACTAGCTGCGTTCCAAAGCCGAGGCTGCAGCTGAGGTAGTGTGGATCCTCGGTAGGACTGTCCTATGAAGACTCCTCCTTAGTAGCCTATTGGTCACACAAATGGAGCAGTCCTAACGAGGCTGCGTGGTGACATCACCAGAGCAGCGCCAAACTCCTGAGGGAACTGGTGTGAGAAAATGGAGCCTGTTGCATTGATTGAAGATGTTCTTATGTAATATGATAAACTACATACATACAAATACTTCTAAATAAAATATGGTATATGGACGATAATATGATATATCTCCCGATGATGCTGCTGCTGCTGCCGCTGCATAATCTAAAACTAATCAAATTAACCATTGCTCCACCTGTTTTCCCGGATTTGTACTATAATACTTTATACTAACAATGTTTGCTATCCGGTGTCGACCAGAAGAGGATGGGTTCTCCTTCTGAGTCTTGGTTCCTCTCAAGATTTGTTACTCTTGCTCTTAGGGAGTTTTTCCTTGCCACTGTCGCCACAGGCGTCGCTCATGGGGGCTTGGACCCGGATTTTTCTTTCTGTAATGCTGATTTTTCTGTAAAGCTGCTTTGTGACAACACCTATTGTAAAAAGCGCTATATAAATAAACTTTGCTTGCTTGCTTTGGACAAATTAATCAGTCATTTTACACTTTATAAGATAACGAAGACGAATTCAAGCTCTGTTCCAACGGCTTCGTTTTCTGCCATTTTCGTAGTGCTGGGTTTTTTTTTTCTCCTTCGTGTCGTTCGTGCGCAGAGAACCGTCGGTAACCAAAGGCCTGAAAGGAAACATCTGATGTGTCCTTGAAATCACTCCGAAAGTAGGCTGCATTTCTGGGCTGTATACGAAGGATCCTTCACTTTGGAATGGCCTGCTAAGACGTTGCCAAGAAATGCAGCCTACCTTGGCTGTAGCCTGGGCTTTGGAATGCATCTACTGAGTGATGGGGGAGAGGGAGGACCACCCTACCCACCCAGAGAGAGAAGACCCGGTTATGGATGACCGTGGCGTCACTGGGGACCAAACTCATGATCTTTTGATAACAGGACCAGCACTCAGACAATATCTATTCCTTGTTTTTGGACTTGGCGAACATCAGACACAGTATTTAGCGATACTGTCACACTGTCTCTGACTTCTATCACAAACTTTACAGTGTAGCCATAACAATGTGCTTACGTTACAGCATTAATGTTTCTTAGTAGCAATATTCAGTAAAATGTTCATATCAATTTGCAAATGCAAGAAAAACTATCACGCCTTGTTGTCCTCTTTGGGAAAAAAAAGACATTTCATTTAATTGCTAGGTTATGTGCTCTGCAACGAATGCCTGAATAGTCAATTTCAGTATTCAGATACTAGCTGCATTCCAAAGCCTTGGCTGCAGCTGAGGTAGGCTGCGTTTCTCGGCCGCTACATCATAGCAGGCCTTTCCAAAGTGAAGGACTTTTCGTATACAGCCTAGAAATGCAGTCTATGTTTGGAGTGATTTTAAGGACACATCAGATGTTTCCTTCCAGGCATTTGGTTACCCACAGTTCTCTGCATACGAACAACGTGAAGGAGAAAAAACAAAACAGCCGTTGGAGCAGAGCTTGTTATAAAATGTAAGTTGTTCATGTCGTTGTATCCATGTATCATATTTTAATCAGACGTATTTGTATTTATGTAGTTTATCGTACTACATAAGAACATCTCCTCCATCTCCTTGGAGAAATGAAAAAACAACAAACTCAACGCAACGGGCTCCAGTTTCTCTCACCAGTTCCCTCACCTGTCTTGTGCTGCTCTGGTCAACGTCACCACGCATACTCGTTAGGACTGATCCATTTGTGTGACTGACAAGCTACTAAGGAGGAGTCTTCATAGGGCAGTCCTGCTGAGGACCCGCACTACCTCGGCTGCAGCCTTGGCTTTGGATTGTAGCTTCTGACACAACGCACATCTGACTGAGTACTCGAGTACTCATACACATCCCTAACTCTTACACCCGCTCACTCTTTCATGCAGTCACTCAGGGCCAACTGTCACAGTTCAATTATTCATGCCATTTGGTCAGTGTGCATTATATGTGATGGGAAATCGTTGCGACTGCATTGGTGTGGAACAGGAAGGAATGGATCAGAGAATGTGAGGATTGAAATTGAATGACATGGTTTGGATTGAACGGTTCTTGTGTTCCCTGTATTCTACTGCCCACTTGGTGTTAGACTGAAGGACCTGGTTTGGTACCAAAGGAGTCAGTAAAGGTCACTGATCATTTTCAGTGATTTGACATTGTTAGAGATTATAAAAGAGCACACAAAGCTCATATCTGCTCTCATGTCCTCTACCCTTTGTATGTAGGGCAAGCCGTTTTAGCTTTTAGTCCTTTTTTCACGTGAAAATTTAATTTGCACTAGAAAACATTTATTTCATACTAGTCAAAATTTTATTTTTACTATTGATAATTCATAGTTTCCCCATTGATAATTCAGAGTTTCCCTATTCATTTTAAGGGAGGAAACATTTTTTACCAGTGAGAATAAAATTTTCACCAGTAAAAATACAAACTACAAATTTTTATAGCTGGTTTCAGCGACGCTTCAGAAGTGTTCTTTTGCCGCCTGTTACGTTTTACCTCTTTAACTCTTTGTTGACATTGAGCTTTATAGATTAATCTTGTTAGCCTGTTACCAGTTCGTCTTATTGATGTTGTCTAGCTGGATGTCTTATTGTCAACTGTCCTATGTCTCTTTGTCTCATTTCACTACAAAACCTTTAAACGTGCATGTGTACACTTTGAAAAGTAAAGCATCGTCTAAATGTGATGCTCCCATTGTCCGTGTCTCTCCCTTCGACCCCTCATCACATACTCCATGTTACTTCCCCTTTACCCCTAGATAACATCACAGGGGCACGTAACACCGTCTCACAGGTGTTGTGTTAAACGCTGCTTGCTGGATTTTGCTAAGCTCAAATCCAGCCTCTTTATCAGACTTCTTAATCAGATTTCTAGGCCTTAATCTGATTTAAGAAATCAGAGTGTGCTGTTTACACTGATGCTTGAATAATTAGAAAACTGCAGAAATCTGGTAATGATCATGATTAATGATTATTAAGTGAATGTAAATGCACTCATATCATACTGTATTATTGTAATAGGGCATTTTATCATTTTAGCTCACAGCCAGCAACTCGAGGCATTGTAAAGCTTAAATCTGTGCTTCTGGTTTGAGCATCGCTCCAAAAGTGTTTTATTGGCATCTTGCGGGTGCTGTGTTAAATGTTGGTTGCTGTTTCTGGTATAGCGTTCTGTTTTCACACATGCACAGACTGAGAAAAACGAAAGAAATCAGAGTAAGAGTTCACATGCACTGAAAAACCCCAAAACTGAGCTCAAATCCAGCCAGCTGACTTCTTAATCAGATTTCTAGGCTTTAACCCGATCTAAGAACTCAGAGTGTGCTGTTTACACTACTGTTTGAATAATCGGATAACTGTAGAAATCTATAAATGATCGGATTATTAAGTGCATGTAAATGCACTCATTGTATTGTATCAAATTGTGTTATTGTAAATTTTAGCGTTTTACCTCACAGCCAGCATGTTAACTCGAGCCAGTGTAGCCAGTAAATTTCACTGGGCAGTTCTAATGCATCTAATATTGTACATTTATAGTGATGAATCTAATAAACTTAAAATGGAAACAATCACATATGAACCTAAACATTATTAGCAGAATCGAGACCCCGCTGTATTCCATCGTACTGATTTCTAAATTGTGTGCATCGTTACACCTTTACTACAAATGATACTGTTTAGATTAATGCAGTTGTCTGTTTTGCTCCATCAGACAGTGAAAAGTGTTCGTGTTTGTGAGCGAGAGAGTGAGAGAGAGACAGAAAGAGAGAGAGAGAGAGTAAGAAAGCTTGGGGCAGACCATCTAGACTGATTCTTTGTGTTTTCCTGGCACAGTAGTGCAAACCTTGTTCTTAAGTACCGCAAGTGTTACAAATTTGTTTTGATAGTGCAGCGTTTGTGTTATTTGTAGTGGTTTTCTTTGCTTTCTTTCTTTCTTTCCTTTTTTTCACCCCTCTCTCTTGCCCATCTCCCGGTAGAGCAGTCACTATTCTTTTAGCTTTAAGCACAAGTGAGCGATAGGATTGAGGGGGGGTGAACATAAAGCAAGAGTGGGCTCAGAAGAAAGAAAAGACTTTTAATAATGAATATTACTCAAACTGTCTGGGAGTGAGGCGCATTTAAATGCTCCAACACCCCCCCTACCCCAACCCCCTGTACGCGCTAGCCTTCAGAGCAGCCTTTGAGCTGTGAGTTTACAAACAGAATGAAGTTGCTCGCTAGCGGAGGAGATAAAAAGCGCCGCTCGGGTCTTAAAGGCAGCGCCGGAGGAGAGGCGCCGCGGCCCAGGCGTTTACCCGCCCTGAGCCGGGCCTGTCTCTGCCGCTTTGCCCTCCGACGCGGTGATGCGCTCGCTGGGACGGCCCGTCCAGCTCGCCTGCCACCGGCACTGAAGCCTACTGTATGAGGTAGGGAATTTAATTAGGCAAATAAACCAAATTGTGGTTTTATTTCTTTAGAAAAAAATAAGATAAACAGTTTTATTTATTCATGGGCGCGGGGAGCAGGCCTGCTGTTTTAAGTTGGGAGTTTGAGAAGCGGCCATGGGAAGACCAAGAGAATCAGGCGAAGGCAGAGAATAGGGAAGTAGACAGCTGGAGGAGAGAGAGAGAGAGCGAGAGAGAGAGAGAGAGAGAGGGGCAGGGGGGAGGGTGAGTGAGTGACTGTAAGAGTTCATTAGTTGAAATAATGGAGAATAATGGATTGGGGGGGCAGGGGATGGGGTCCTGCTCGTCTATAGGAGTGATGTCAGCCTTTCTAAACGAGGCGCGGTGAGTCATTCCTGCTGATGGGCCCGTATGGACAGTTCAGGATCATGACCTCTGTTCAGGTGCTCAAATCATCTCCCATCATTTTATCTGGTGTTTATGTCTGATCTTCATAAGTGAATTCAAAACTACTGCTGTGTACACCGATCAGGCATAACATTATGACCACCTCCTTGTTTCCATGCTCGTTGGCCATTTTATCAGCTCCACTTACTATATAGGTGCACTTTGTAGTTCTACAATTACAGACTGTAGTCCATCTGTTTCTCTGCATACTTTGTTAGCCCCCTTTTACCCTGTTCTTCAGTGGTCAGGACCCCCATGGACCCTCACAGAGCAGGTACTATTTGGGTGGTGGATCATTCTCAGCACTGCAGTAACACTGACGTGGTGGTGATGTGTTAAGTGTGTGTTGCGCTGGTACGAGTGGATCAGACACAGCAGTGCTGCTGGAGTTTTTAAACACCTCAGTGTCACTGCTGGACTGAGAATAGTCCACCAGCCAAATACATCTAGCCAACAGCGTCCTGTGGGCAGCGTCCTGTGACCACTGATGAAGGACTAGAGGATGACCAACACAAACAGCAGCAGATGAGCTATCATCTCTGACTCTACATCTGCAAGCTGGACTGACAAGGTAGGAGTGTCTAATAGAGTGGCCAATGAGTGGACACAGTGTTTAAAATCTCCAGTGTCTGATCCACTCACACCAGCGCAACACACTAACACATCACCACCAGTGTTACGGCAGTGCTGAGAATGATCCATCACCCAAATAATACCTGCTCTGTGAGGGTCCATGGGGGTCCTGACCACTGAAGAACAAGGTAAAAGGGGGCTAACAAAGTATGCAGAGAAACAGATGGACTACAGTCTGTAATTACAACTACAAAGTGCACCTATATAGTAAGTGGAGCTGATAAAATGGACAATTAATGTAGAAACAAGGGGGTGGTCATAATGTTATGCCTGATCAGTGTATTGTAAGTAGTGATATACATTCAGACTAATTTCGGTAATTGAGGATAAGTTAAGCTGCGATGGACTGGCGACCTGTCCAGGGTGTATCCTGCCTTCCTCCCAATGACAGCTGGGATAGGCTCCAGCACCCCACCGCGACCCAGAAGGATAAGCGGTTTAGATGATGGATGGATGGAGGATAAGTTAAGAGTTCGTGAATAGACGTTCAGTTAACTGTAGCGAAGGAAAATTCATCACTGTTCCTGGACTCAGCTAAACTCAGCTAGAATAGTTAGTCTAGCTATAATAAAGGACAAAGGTGGGCTGGATGGTCCACACTCTTTTCACCTTCTGAAATACGTCCTTACAAATGTGACCCTGGCAAAAACTCTCAAATTAAGGCACAGAATTGTTTTCTTTTTTTTGCACTTATACAGTTACAGATACACTTACTTTTAAATGTACAACAAATGTTTAAAAGGATGAAATATGGCTCTCTAAGATGGAAAAGGAAAAAAACAAATTAAACAGAAACACAATAACAGCAAGACTCAGTGGAAAAAGACAAACAAATGAAGATCAAAAAAGATTTTTCGATATAAAACCTTTCAGATTAGATTTTATAGATTTTTTTTTTAGATTATATATGCTTTTTACATTAGATCCATAGATTTTTGGTGCTGGTCAAAAGTATGGTGCTCATTGCTGATGTTATATTTTGTTAAAACATGAGTTTGACATTTAAGGAAATCTCTAGCCTCTATATTTCCTCTTCCTGTGATGAAACATAACACATACACGGAAACTGATTTCCATATGTAAATGGTAGCACCTTGAGCGGTTAAAGTACTCATGCACACCCACATTTATAGTAACAACACTGCTGACCAGACAGAACTGAACCGTTGTTGTTGTTTACTCTTATTATGACACACATATTTTCAGATTTGATCTGATTTTTGATTCCGAGGTCAAGATTTGTTTTGTTGGTTGATATATCATGTGTTGAATGTCTTGATTCTGCAGAGCTCTGATTCTATACTGCACAGATTGTTTTGGCTCAGATCCAGTAGAACTTTTTCAATCATCTGCCCTGGCGTTGAAGAAAAACCTCAGTCATTTAAGTGGGTGTGCCCCCACTCATGCCCTGCCCCTGACCCGCCCACTTTACTCTGACTGGCTGCACCCAGACGCCAAGTGTTGATCATTGACAACGGTTTCCATGAAGACGGGAAATGACTGATGCTCAGATGGGAGAGGGGGTGAATTGGAGATAGTTTTACAACTTGATCACTTATGTGAAAAGTTAATATCGATTTTTCAATACTGTATTGAAACCCTTGCTATACAGTATGTTGTTGCCGATGCTGTTGACTATACAGTTCTGTGCAAAATTATTAGCTGCCTGGAACATTGTTTACAACTGTTTGTCTGAACGTTTGCATGTAAAACAACTACAAGAAAGAAATAAACATTTATTTATTTAAACAAAAATAAAAAATAAACAATAATGTATAAATAATAAATAAGCATTGATATAAAAGTGTAAAAAGTGATGAGAATTGCTACAAAAAAAAAATGATGTGAGCTGGTTAGAACACAAGGTTTTGCTCCTCTTCAGTTCCATCAGCAGCACACCTGATTTAAGTTAATGAAAAACTAATTAGCTAAACAAGGAATGAACTGAAATGAGAACTGATTTTTTTTTTATTGTCTATTTACAAAATGTAGAAATTGAGACCAAATCCACATGGATTACCATTACTGTGAAATATGACATTTAATTTCTGCAGTAAGTTAGACGCAGATGTTTTAGCACAGTAGTCAAACATTGCCTGAACATTTGGCTCTTCCAGAGGACGATCAGTTTGGAATATCAGATGATTATGAAATGTAAACAACCCTGGACTTCGGTGAGGATTGCAAAGCTTTGAATATTCAGTGTTACAGTTAATACGAAAGCGCTTTGTTGATTAATGCAAGATTAGTTCCATGAATACGCCGTCTGTATGCGTGCGTTCAGGATGTGACGTGATGTTTTCCTCCGTTTCTGCAGGCGAAGGCACCGGTCTAGCAGCAGCTCATCCAGAGGTTCCAGCCACAGGAGGCGGAGCCGCAGCACTGACAAGGGGCGGAGCCACAGATCCCGGAGGTCTCGCTCCCGCAGCCGAAGGAGGTAAGGAGAAACTTCCACCAACACCAGCCGGCAGGAGGACTGCAACAACAAACGGCATTGAGACAATGTTAATGTTGATGCGTCTTTAAAAGCTCCTTATAAAGATTTATTAAGCTCTTATAATTCACACGATCATTCTGATAAAAATGTTTTGCTGTACAGCGCCATGCATGTACCACTCCGCCATGAATGAATTAAAATAAAGGGATTAAAATACATTTTGAACCAAAACTCTCACAAAACAAGACATCAGGCAGTGAATTCATAACCATTTCATGTAATAACTTTCTGTGAGGGAGCTTTTCGAGATGGACGTCTGGTTCCTATCACCACCACCGTGAACTGTTCTGAATCGGTAAGTTTCTCAAGAACGGAGCATTTCACACTAAATGTAGAATTTTATGAAAAATCAGTGGTTCCTTGCAGTTAAAAGTGTGACAGTTGATAACTGTCATACCAGTCAGTAAAGCACTGCTTAACTAAAACTATTGAAGAATGAACCGAAAATCTACAAAATAAATAACAAACTAAATCAACATTGTTGGTTGTCAGAATTTTTAGCTCTTTATAATCAGTGTTGTTATTGCTAAAATGGTTTATATAGCTATAACTAGGTGAGTGATGTGTAATTTAAAAATCCCAGCTTCCCTTTTTGTTGTTTCAACACTTTGGGACGAATGGTCCAATCGAAATGAATCATGGAGGAAAATTTCATTACCTTATCTTATATTAAAATATTGTTTTCCTTCTCAAATAAATAGTTCATTTTCTGATATTACTGATAGATATGAGATTTCGCACTGTTTAAAATGTTTAAACCGAAAGCACAACACGTCTTCTGGTAGTTAGACAAGTCAGTTAATTGGAACAACACTCAATAGCTTAACCAATTACACAAATAATAGGTTAATTACTGCCCTTGGCAAAGTGGAGAGAGATTTAGCCCAGTTCCCACATTTTAATTCTGAGATCACTTCACTATCAGTGAGTGACAAATCTCTGTGACAGATGATCTTAACCCTATGAGGCCATTTGGGGGTAAATAGGTAGGAAAAATTAAAAAATTAAAATTATCGCTGTTGCCAGAATAAAACCTCATATCTCCAAAATGGTAACTTTACAGAAAAAGGAAAAAAACCTACTTTACTTTTAATGGAACCAGACATTTTTTCCAAGTAATTTTGGGTCATTTCTTTTAGTTCATTCATCATGAAATTTACATACAATGTGAAGGGTAACAGGCATTTTCAAATTATGTCAAAAATGGAGATACGAGGTCTTCTTCTGACAACAGTAATATTAAAGCTGGTAAGACTCGAGTTCTTGGCTTAAAACTGATCGTTCAGTCTTTGGCAAGAGGGAGCCAGAGCTCAGCACAGCTCAGCACGGCTCGCTTGGTGCCTTTTTCATCGTCTCAGTCCGTCTCTCAGTCTGTTCATCAGCACCGTCTCTCAGTCTGTGCATCAGCTGTGCTCAATTATGTCATTAGTAGTTAAGCAGGTGATCCAGTGCTTAGAGACTTGCAGTCCCTCTTTAAGAGCCTGTGTGCTGTGAGGGCGGTTTAGTGTTTAGTTTTGTGAAGGACTGAGGTCAGGTTCAGTCGTGAAAACACCTGCAGCCCTTTTTTTCTCCCACGTCCGCTTCAGAGTTAGAGTCTTTCAGAAAATAACTGGAAGAAAAGTATTATTATTATTATTATTATTATTATGTCTGTAATAATATCTGCCGTTATTTCCAGGAACATCACTTATGATGTGTCCAGAAACATCAGCAAGTTGCAGAGATACTACGACTGCTACTAACACCACTTTTCACTTGTTAATTTTGAGACGTTTCCTAACTCTAAAGCAGATGCTGGAGCAACTGCAGTGATGGCGTATGAGCTGAAGCTTATGCTTAATTGAATTAATTAACTTTGTAATAATAATAATGCAGCTTTATAGAAGTTGTGATTGTAGTATACTGTCATCTTGAATTTAGTAAAGACTATAAATGCCGTACAAACGTCACCATCTGACGCTGTGGTGTCTGTAGACGCTTAGCTTAGCCTGACTGTACGAGAGCTGAGACTGACAGTGTTTGAGACCTGAAGCTGTTTTGTCTGATGTTTAGGACCTGACACTGTGGTCTGAGGATGTCCTAAAATACACACCATAACATAGATGGCTTTTCTAGGCCTGCAGCACCAAGCGTGTTCAACCAGCTCAGCTCAACAGCCACGTTTACAGAAAAATCCCGCCTATTTTGGTACAATAAATGTGATGTAAATGTGAGATATGACACCACTCAACATGTTTAAATGTTTAGCTATGCTTACAAGGGGGATACTGGTGTCTTGCTGTGGTTTGCATGTAATAAATCAGTAAATGAACTACATTTTTTAATGTTTTTGCCATCACTGGAGACTGTTTTGCACGAATTTTATATTACATTGCAGTTTGTTGCCAAAATATTTCAAAGATGAAGAATTAGGTAAGTTGTGGTGTGTAAATGTATTATTTTCTGTCATTGGGTGAGGGAGTGGGATTAGGATAACTTTCTGACTGAATTGAACATCTTAATGGGCCAGCTTTGGGCAGCACTGCTCTAACGCGCCAATCACGAAAGCATCTAAAAATCCGCCTATGATTCTTTATTCAATTTTCCTCTTGAAATGCTGAAAAGTGGTGGGGATTACAGAAGGAGATTCCTGTTGTTAGGCCAAAGAGAGTTTTATTTCACCGAAAAGTCAATATGTTTGCAATTACCAGCTCACATTTGGGTGTTTAATGAAGAAGATGATGAAAAAGAAAAGAAAAAATGAAACATGTAGGCTGCACCATGTGGGAAGGCACACTTCCCTCTCCCCAGCCATCCTCATTTAGACTGGTGCAGAATGCTGGCTTAGCTAATTAGCTTGTGACAGCCTGCCATTAAAGCCCTTCTGTTGTGTTGCGAGACACTCTCACTCTCGCCAGCTGCTTGTCCTCTGCTCGCTCACACTAAATACAGCGGTTATTAGTGTACGTTATGATTATTTTTTGTTGTCTCTATTAATTAAGCAGGGGCCCAAGCACCCTCGGGTCAAAGCGCACTGTCTGTCCTTGTGCCCCCTTCAGAGCGGGGAAGAATAAGGGGCCACTTAGGCTGATTAATTAATGCAATTAAAACATAATTATCCATTCGCTGTTTATTGAAATGTTTGTTTTTTTTGGCTTCCCTTCTCGTGTGCGCGTGCAGACGCTCACGCAGGAAGAGAGACCGTGGGCATCGTGTACGGTCGATAAAAGGATCCTGATTTCATTAACATTGCAAATGTAAGTAAATTAAGCAGCGAAGAACGCGGCGGCTAAATCCTTCAGAACGGTGGGGTGGCTCACGTAATGTATGCGCGCCAAAGCCCCCTGTTTACTGGTGTGCGGCTGCAGGAGATGGAGGAGAAATTTCAATCACAAAGGAAAGGGGTCTATATCTTCATTAGCCTCCCACTGACAAAGAGGGCTAATAGGAGCTTTACCCAGGCAGCATGGATTGTCTTGTTATTGATAGCTTTATTTGTAGCTTTAAATGACTGCATTGACTGGAAACTGTCATTTCTGTTCAAGTTTAAGTTCAAGTAAAAACTTTATTTAAAGTTTATTGTGAGCAGGTGCATCATCAAGCCTTATGAATGGACACTGAAGATGTCAGAAGTCGTAAGACGTATATAATAGTATTGGTCATACCATTCGAACCATTCAAGCAAAGTGAATCAGTTGCTGAGAGTGAGGAACTGGAATTATGAATCAACATACAGTCCAACATACAGAGTTCGAAAGGGTTAAAATACTGACATGTAATTGGAGAATATCTACAGGTCAGTGAGGTAAAGTACCCAGTGAAGCCTCATGTTAACAGCTGCCCAGATCAAGTCAATTACATAAGGAAGTTATATTTATGAGTAGATCCTTTCCAGTTGTAACTATGCACTCTTCAAAATAAAGACTCCTAAATGGTTCTCGGGTTGGATGTGTGGTTTTAGGGAAAAAAAAATAGTTGTTTTAAACTCTTTACACTATGTGGAGGTTTTTTAAACTTTGAATAAGTTTCTTTCTAGGATACGTCTTATTTATGTGTTTCAAAGAAAATCCATGGAAAGTTCATTGGACATATATAAGTGGTTCTTCCATGGTTGTCAAATCCAGACCTTGAATTCAGTTTATGGTCCTGAATTTTGTCGTCACTTGTAGGTATGACCCTAAATGGTCATCAACAAGTCACTTAACAGCAAGCGTTTATAAATTCCAAGATTCAAGATCTGGATTTGAAGACCTGCAGTGCTGTGTAGACCATCCTTCATGTTTTCATTTCCAGTCAGGTTATTAGAGGTGATAAGATACAAGATAATGCACTTGCATAAGGAAAGTCAAATGAAAAGTTCCCAAAACTGGAGTTCAAAAACTGATTAAAAGCTACAGAGAAAATGAGACTCCTAACAACCACCTGGAAGACCTGGTAGACACCAGAACTAAACAGATAAACAGCACTTAAAGCTTTCATCTTTGAGAGAGCGGAGAAAATCAAGCTGCTTCAGATCTGAAAACATCTACAGGCGTTTCTGTCCATCCTTCCACTGTGAGAAGACGACTCACTGAGAAAAGGAGACGGACACATCAAACAAAGAAGCTGAACAATGGACTGACCACCCCAGAGTCCAGACCTCAACACCACTGAATGAGATTGATTAATTCAGAAAATGATCAACCAACTTCTAAGACTGAACTTTGGAGGTGTGTCTGCAGATTCTTTGAGGAACTGAAAGTGAGAAAAAAATGGAAGAACGGAACGGAAGAACGGAATTGTCTTTAGTTGTGGTTTAGTTTTCTGCTGAATATTTTTCTTTTTTTTATTTCTAAAGCTGAAAAATGAGTAGCTTTTTCCCACTAGTTGTTTTGACTGGAAATTGAACGAATGAAGTGCGGTCTCTGACTTTCGCACGATGCCGCAGGTTCCATGGCGTCGTTCCGAAGAACTGTTTTTGT